GCAATTTTAGATCTTGAGCCCACCATCTTTACGAACGTCATTGTAGGTCTCTCCTCTTTTAATCTATGTCATGCTGTAACCAAGACCTGGAGCAGCTTTTATTCTTGAACCCACCATCCTAATGAAAGTTATTGTTTGTCTCTTCTCTTTAAATCTAAGCCGTGCTGCACCTAGCGAATGTGTACGAGCATAGGTGTCCACCGGTTCACACACACACACACACACACACACACATACACACACACACACACACACACACACACACACTCACACATACACACACACACACAAACACACTCATCACTGGTCCACTGGTACTTCACAGGAGAGGATGAACGTGATCGCTGTTGACTATGAAGACGCCGTGGACAACTACGAGTACCTCCAGGCGGCCGCAAACAGCAGGTCAGTGGGTGCCATGATAGGACGTCTGCTCCAGGACCTTCATGAAAGTGCGGGATCCACACCCGATGTAAGTGCATCATGAGCTCCTTTTCCTCATCTCGGTACAACTCATTTAGAAAAAAATAAATCTGCAATCGGTTTAAAATATCTTAACAACAATGCTCCATCATATCTGTCTGAGCTTTTAACACCGTATGTAACATCTTGTCAGGTACAGTCATCAACAGACGCAACAAAATTTAGAAACCCTGGAATAAAATTTAAGATATTTTGGTGAGAGAAGTTTGTCATTATTAAGCCCTAAAATTTGGAACGCCTTACCCTAGGATCTGATCAGAGAACAAAACACACAACATACAAATATGCTCATACGTTTAAGCGATTACTAAAAGCTTATTTATTGTTTAAATTTTAGTTGCAGTGTGTTTGTAGATCTTGCTTTACACTCCTGTCTCTGCGTGAGTCATAATATAAATAATGCATGGTTGAGAACGTTCTTTTTTATGTGGTTTTCTTGATAATGTGTATAAAGTAGGCCTTCTACGCTCAGTGATCATGTCATCGATGTAAAGCGCTCAGAGCTTAGACTCGTATGGGAATAGAGCCTCATATCATAAATGCTAATTATTATTATTATTATTATTATTATTATTATTATTATTATTATTATTATTATTATTATCATTATTATTATTATTATTATTACTATTATTATTATTATTATTATTATTATTATTATTATTATTATTATTATTATTATTGTTATTATTATTATTATTATTATTATTATTATTATTATTATTATTATTATTATTATTATTATTATTATTATTATTATTGTTATTATTATTATTATTGTTGTTGTTGAAGTTATTATTTTTAGTGTTGTATGACCAGCGTCTACATATAGTTTAGCAACAGGACCCCTCGCAGTCGCGCACATTAGACCCGAGTTCAATCCCCGTGTAGAGAGCTTTTCATAACGAACATTTCTGCATATCCTATGAATCATTGCACCCCTCTCAGTCCGGGTTTGTTCAGGAAGCAACTAGTCCTTTTCTAGTTTAGTTTTAGTAACAGTTTTACGGCACTTGCAACACAAGAAGGTCATATAAGCGCCGAAGATTAGAGGTGTTACAAGAGAGTAACAAACACGAAAAAAAAGGAGGGGAGATGTTTGTTACTCTCTTGCAGCACCGCCAAGAACTAACTTCCTCAGTCTCTCCATTGTTCCAGAAATTCCATTTGATCGGACACAGCCTCGGATCTCACGTCATGGGTTATGCCGGTGTGGAGTTTCGGCGCTTGACTGGTGCCAATGTTGGAAGAATTACTGGTGAGCGCATTTGAAGATTTCTAAATTAATTTGTCATTAAATATAATTTCTTCCACATGTTAGAGTGCAGGGGAAATGGATAGCCTCACACCTCACCAGCTGTAGTTACAATGCCTGTAGTGACTGCACATACCCACCGGACTTGTCAAACGCACATTAACATATTGTGTAGCAACTGCTTTAGTGCATCATTTCTGCATTCTTTACTTCAGCATTCATTCTATGTATTTTCACGTCCTGCTTGAATTCTTACTCCAAGCCAAGAGACCTACCTTCAACGGCCTCTATATTTTTGTAAGATGGTAATGTATGAACAGATACACATTTGAAAGTCGCAACTATTTTCAGATGAAATAATAACAAATAAACCTGATCAGTACCATGTGGTTTATATTATTCTGTTCGTGTTTCCTGTTAGTGTTGAAATACAATATGTATTTACTTGCGTGCATTCTAATAGACAGAGACTGATACGAATAAGGTATTTAACATGAAACAAGTAACGCCCCCCCCCCCAAAAAAAAAAGAATAAAGAAAGAAAAAAAAGGAAAGCAAATAGATAACATAAATAAATAAATAAATAAAATAAATAAATAAATAAATAAATAAATAAGTAAACCAAATACAATTTTTAAAAAAGAAGGGGTGGGGTGAGTTTGCAGAGGCAGGATGGCAGCTGTTTCTTCCAACCACCGATTCAGGTATAACTCGCTATATATGGAGCAAATAAAGAGCTTACCGCTTGCCAAAATACTATATTTTACGAACTGTTTGGGCTTGCCCATTGGCATTATCAATTTTTTCCAGGCTTGGATCCTGCCGGATTGGCTTTCTGGCAGTTCAAGGACACCGTGTATTTGGACAAGGCTGACGGCGATTTTGTCGACATTATACACACTAATGCCGCACCTGTCATTCAGGGAGGTGAGAAACGAATTTTATTATACTGAGGAGATTGTTTGTGTGTAAGTGAGTGTGTGTGTGTGTGTGTGTGTGTGTGTGTGTGTGTGTGTGTGTGTGTGTGTGTGTGTGTGTGTGTGTGTGTTTGTGCGTTTGAGAGAGAAACCGAGAGAGAGAGAGAGAGAGAGAGAGAGAGAGAGAGAGAGAGAGAGAGAGAGAGAGAGAGAGAGAGAGAGAGAGAGAGAGAGAGAGCACACACACACTCACACACACACACACTAACACACATTCATCAACTCTCTTTAATATGACCATATTCATATTATTTATCTAAATAGTGTAATAAGAAGACTGTGATCTCATATAACTCTATTTGTGTCTGTGCGACTACTCTAGTCTCCTATTTTCCCCCATAGTAAGGCCGCGTCCCCCACCCCAACACAACACATTTTAATATGTACGCAAACCTTCAGAATTCCAACTTTTATTTCCCACTGAGAAAAGGATTCGGATTCCCCAAGTCAGCCGGCAGTGCAGACTTCTACGTGAACGGAGGAGAAGACCAGCCAGAATGTCCCCCTAGCCCCCTGAACCTCTTGTATGTTGTCGATCTAGCGGGTAAGTTTTCATTCTTTTTTGTGTCGCATGCAGTAAAATAATTTATGACTTTCTAATGTTTTGCTGTTCCGTGCATTTTAATAGAATGTGCTGAATCTAAAGACAGAGAATTTAATTTTTACCTACATCAATGATCTGTTAAATACTGTTGACTTGAAAAGGAAATTGGTTATACAACTCCCCCATCCCCCATTTTTCCCTGTACAAAAAAAGAGGAAAAAAAAACCGAAAACGAAAACAAGAACCAAAACAAAACAAAATTCAGAAAAGAAAACAAAGAATTAACCTTTGGTATATACAACTGTATAGAACATCAACACGTTAGAACTTTTTGAACATAATATTCTAATAGATTTTTTAATGTGTGTCTGTTCTTTTAGTTTATAATCAGAAAGTCTGTTTGTAGACAATATGTTTCTGACGCTTACTATTCCCAATTTGTGTCGGTAGCGTCGTAAAACACGTAATCAAACAAAGAAACCAATAAGTATTTACATTACAAAGAATACAAAGATACCAAAGAATTATATCGTACTGGATAATCTGCACGATTGATTGAAGGATATTGCAAGGAAAAACCCTTTATGAACCGTGGAGATACCTTGTTGCACTGACTAAGTTCTTTAGTTTTGTAGACTTATGATTAAATCTCACTAATAAACTGACAAGATCTTTCCCTGTCTACAGGCGGGTACCAATTCCTACCTGGATGAAGTGAGGAAAATTAATGTAAAGTGCCTTTCTCAAGGACAAAACGTCTGGACCATAACGGGATTCGAACCCACAATCTTGCAGTTGCGAGTCCGTGGGCCTGTTTTGTTTAATGACGGATCATACTGACGCTAATTGAAATCAAAGAACCGATTGATATCATTCAAATTATGAATTTTGTTATCTCTGTACAGAGTTTTTCTGCAGCCACCGTCGTTCTGTGACATTATTCATCAACTCTGTGAATGACTGCCAGTTCCAGATAGATGGTACGTAACATTCCATCTGCTTACTAACAAGATCGCAAATGTTCGAAAAGAGTCCATAGCAAAAGGATAGGATGGAGTGGAGAAGAAAAAAAAGGAGGGGGAGGGGGGGGGGGGGATGTTTCATGTCTTGACCACCATGTGTGATAAAAAAAGGGGGGAGGGGAGAAAAATAATTCCTTATGCTCTTGACCAACACGTGTGATAAGGAGAGGGGGGGGGGAGAGATCGAATGCCACGGGTGTTCAAATGTTATATTTTATTTCTGTTCAGAGATATAATATAACATTGTTCTGTAGGCTGAGTGGTAGAAAAGGGGGTAAATAACTCAATAAAATCGAGTAACCATTTTTAAAGTTGCCCACAATTAATAACAGTTGAAAGTGCTCTTTTTAACTTTTTACCATTGCCATATTTATAACATGACCACAGGAAATGAATTTTTTAAATCCGTCTCAAACTTTCTTAACAAAATTGTTAATTTTAAACGAATTAAATCATGGACTAAAGAAAACGTACCAACCTATAAAGAGGGGCACCTTAAGCTGGCAATTACCTGTTTCGTCTTCAGGAACGTGAGCGTTCAGCGGCTATTACTTTGCGCTCTTTCCTTGTTCCATTTTTTGGACAACCACCGTCCCTTGTTTACTTAAAATAGATAAATAAATAAATCAAAAGTAAACGACCTAGGCTTCTAATTTGTAAAAAGGAAAAATGTAGTAGGCCATTTTTACCATCATCCATTGAACTCCTGCCTCATTAACCATCGTGTAATGTGTGTGTGTGTGTGTGTGTGTGTGTGTGTATGTGTGTATGTGTGTAAGGGGTGAAACACCAAACCTGTGGGATAATCCGGACAGTGAAGATGTACCTTATGTTATCTTTTCTTATCGTTCTGACTTTAGCTTTTACCTCATCACTATTTTGACTGTCATGATAACGAAGGGTTTCTCTGTATCTCAAACTCAAAGACACCCTTTGTGCTGTGGGCTGTTTGATGGGATTCGATGCAGGGCCCGTGTGTGAAGGCGATCTGCAAGTGACCACTACAGGACAGGAACCTTACTGCGTCAATACGCTAATGTAGGCTGAATAAGTGTTTGCAATATGTGAGGCAGCACGGTTTTGGGCATGTAGAGTTATTGGTATCATCTTAAAGCTTGTTCTTTTGTCTTTATTTGGATTAAAAAATATCCATTTTTCTTGACAAGTCGAGATATTTGAGAAAGAAGGAGGTGGGGGTCACCTGTTTTCAGAGGTAAAATTAGTGAAAAAATGGCCGCCAAAGATTACTTATTTCCTTAGCTTAAAAATCCGTGGTAACTGAAAATTTACATTTTTTGTGCCTTTAATCAACGTTTTTCAGAAAAATCCAAACAGAAATGAGTTCTCTAATGGGAATGAAAGGTGTTGAGCTAAAAAACAAAAATTTGATAAACATTCACAAACCTGCGGAAAAATGAAAGTTTCTTCACTTTGATTATTTTGACGAGAGCCTGATTCCACCACGCTGTCTCACATATGTTCTCAGCAAAATAACCCACACCGAGAAGAAGTAAGTGAGGACTTGGCGATGTGATTAATTAATTAGTGTTGACGTCTACTTGAATGGATTGTGCAGTTGATTTTCAGAGAGTTGACTTTCAGAGAGGAGGGAGAGGTTGGAGAGGAGGTGAAAGAGGGTGTGTGTCCTCTTGCTTTGATTCAATCAAGGGGTCGGTTCCTTGTATATGATTTTGTTTTGTGTGTTTCTTGTTCTTGTAGTTGTTTTTGTTTTCTGGGCTTTTTTTTCTTGGTCTCTTTTTTTTCTATCTTTTTTTTTTATTAGGAGGGGGGGTAAGATGGTGGATGTAAAAAAAACACTGTAAGCCCCTAGCAAACGAGAAGAAGAAATCAATGTCTTGCAGGTGGAGTTTTTATCCATGTTACATCATATAAAGTTATCTAAGAAAACAGCTTATTAATTAGTTTCAACAACGGCACTAAATTCTAAAACATGTTCCCAAAATCGTTATTCAGGAGTCAAGACAAGCAAGCTTGCGGCACAGAGTTTGCTCTTTTTAGCGCCGGGAAAGCTAGAATATTGAGAGTCGGGAAAGTTGGTGGTCTGATTTCTATACTTTTGACTTAATGCCTAGTAATTTGTATTTAAAGAATGACATAATTGCAGCATATTTCAAAGAATGAAAATTGAAGCGATTTTCTTTTAATAACGTGCGATAGAATGCTTCCTCTGAGAATAAAATAATGTATTTGTCTTTTTCTTTCTTATAGCACAGGTAATACAATTATGCACCCAGGGATTGATCACAGCGTTTTTCTCTATTTTTTCTGTGTTAATTGGTTGATCTGATTTTTGTTGTTGATTTCACCGTACTCATTCTCTCACTTGGACAATGAACAATGATATATGAATAAAAGGAGAAAAGAATTTAAGAAAACTGTTTTGGCTTTTCTTTCTTGTTTTACTGTAGATTTTTGTTACGGAAAGTCCGGGTTCGAGCCTCGGTTCGGACACTGATTTTTTCGCCACCTCCTGCCCACCCAGCAGTAATGGGTACCTGACTTCGAGTTCGGGAAGTAAAGGCGGCGTGGAAAGGAACTGGCCACATACCACAATTTGCCAAAGGCCCAGGAAGCTGTCTTACTAACAAGGCAATCCCCAATGTCCGTATCGGATGCGGGAACAACTTTACTTTTACTATGTTGTGAGCCTTGTCATGATAAAGGTCAGATCGGGAAAGTCATAGTCTTGCGTACTTTACTACTGATATAATATCGTTAGGACCGCCGATTGCAAGACAGGAAAAGGCCTTTCGTCCTCGGGGGATCCACCTTACTTGTCACTTTGCAACTTCAACTGCAACGACAAAGAAACAATATTTTTATTTTTACCAAAACGTAATTTCAAACTGCAAGTGGAGGGGAATCATATTTTTATCCTAAAATAGCATTCCAGTGTTCAAATGGACGTCCAATAAGCCTAGTAGGGAATCTATTTCTAGCTCTCTTTGGTTTTCGGACGTTTTCCTTGTTTGTCACTGGGTCCGTTGTTATCAAGAATAATTTTGTTCGCATTCCCTTTATCTCTGATAATCAAGGCAAGCGAGATCAGGTCGATGTTACCAGTATTTGTACTGCCGAAAAGCTTGCCAAAAGACGTTTCTTTAAGGAGGCAGGGGGGGGGGGGGGGCTACACCTCAAAAGTTCCCATTCGGCTGAAAATTATGGATTTTTAGTTATAGGCATATTATTTAGTTTCTTCATCCTCTCTTACAACTATTTCATAGTTTTAGATCCCCCTAAAGACTTATTTCTTCCCAGCCGGGCATGTTTGTCACCTTAATTTCCTCATACAGTCAATATTATGTTTTTCTTAATCACCCATTTTCCCAAAACGCGGTTTTTCTGTATACTTTTAAAAAATAACTCCACCATTTTCCCTCCAATCTTCATGAAACTATTACAGAATGAAGAAAAGATGTAATACTGAATAGATTTTTGTTGCCAGTGTCTTGGGTGTGGATTTTCACGGATTTTTTGGCAAACTTGAATACTACCTCAGGAATAAATTCATTGAAAAATCTTCTAATTGGTTTAGGAAAAATTCAGCATACGAATTTGTAGATCTAATGCTTGCTAATACGCATGCAAAAGAAAAATCTATTTCCATGAAAAATAAGTGCGGTATTCATTACGTAAGACATGTCAGTAAAATCCAATATAGCCGCCCTAACCATGAAAACGAAACTTTTTTTACAAATTTGATTGTGGATTTTAAAACTCCTTACTATGTTTATTATATGTGTGAAATTTGATAAAATTTGATTAACTAATAAGCCAGATAGCCTTCTGGTGCAGCCCCCCCCTCCACCCCACCCCCCCCCCCATCCCCCAAATGAAAAAAAAAATCTACGCCACAGCTGAGAAAGCAGCGAGTCTTTGATCAAATGTTGGGACTCAAAAGCCGGGATTTCTGGTAAGGAAGACCCAAGAAATGTCGTTTTCCTAGTTATGTCTTTAGAGGGGAAGGCGGTATGGAGATTTCGGGGACATCACTCCCAATTGAGATGCTCCCTGGAGGACAGGATAATCTTAAACATTGAAAAAGACGAAGAAGCTCTTATTGGTGCTGATCTGTTAGACAATATTATGTTTCATGTCGCAGCACTATGCCGTCTGATTCCCGTAAAAACTTACTATTTCATAACATACTCAATACTTTTTTTTATATGTTTTTTGTTTTAATAAGAGTTTTGATCTCTTGCAACCTTACAACACAATATTGTCAGATAAGTGCCGAAGGTTACAGGTGTTACACGAGAGTAACAAACAAGAAAGGAGGAGGAGAGATCAAGTTGATAGATGTTTTGTTTGTTTGTTTGTTTAGTATAGGGTTTTACGGCGCTCGCAACTGCATAAGGTCATATGAGCGCGCGGGACACACCTAATACTTTTTCGTTGGTAGGAAATTTTGAATTTTGCCCGGGTGGCGGCCGAAGCCTACTCTTATCGATTTTAGACCACCAAGGGATCTTTAACGTGCGCAACTTGCACACGGGCCCTCCGAGATTTTTCGCCCTTGTCCGAGAAGGCTAGGTGTAGATCTTTCCTACCAGAAGATCAGGGGTGTGGCAGAAAGACAGCAGTTAGGAGGAGCCAAGGAGTAGCAGTAGAAAGGCTGCAGAAAGAGTCAGGAGCCCAGAGGAGGGGGCAAAGGAGGTGAGGGGGTGGGGGCAGAAAGTGGAAATGAAAGCAGACAACAGAACATTGCTAGAGATCAGGAAAGGATGTGAAAGGAGACAATTTTAGAGAAGAAATTTTTTTGGTCGCTACCCGGAATCGAACCCGGGACCTTTGAATGAGAGGCCAACACCTTTTTTTGGGCCCGGAGAGCCCCCCCCCCCCCCCCCCCCCGTATAGATGTTTGATACAGAAGACGGAACCAACCACAACAGAGTAGGCCTATCCGCTAACCACCCACATACTTAAGATACATTGACAACATCTAGATACTTTAGGTGGAAACCAATTTGTTGTTGTTGTTTTGTTGTTGTTGTTGTTGTTGTTGTTGTTGTTGTTGTTGTTGTTGTTGTTGTTGTTCTTGTTGTTGTTGTTCTTGTTGTTGTTCTTGTTGTTGTTGTTGCTAAAACATTGCCAAGGTCGATCTGCGAGTGCTGAATATAAACGATACGTTAATGCTCATTATAAATACTACGAACAATGAAAGCACGTTGGGCTGGCTCTTACGTCTTCTTCTCTCCTCATTTAGATGAAAAAGTTTAGTTTCATGCTGAAAAAAAAATATTTCAAGAAACAAGTTGTGCGGTTAGAACATACCGCCATGAACATGTAGAGAAGATGAAAAGGGCTAGTTGTTTAAAAAAAAAAGTATAATAAATGATTTAATGCAAACAATTGTTCCCAAATAAAGCTGTTTGGTAATTAAATTTTAATATCTTGGCTGTATCTTTAAATAGAAAATTGGTACAATGACTGAGAAATAAAAATAAAACCTCAAAAAGACATCATCTGCACTCCACAGGATGCACCCCTCCTTTTTCATTCAATCTTTTCATCGGATATAAAGAGACAGCTTATCAATTCAATGCTTATTTATACTATCAATGTTAAACCTGGACGTTAAGTAAAACTCATAACAGCAAACATTGCTGTGAGCGAGGTGAAGTGTCTCTGCTAGTTCCTAAACATCAAAAACAAAAGGAAACAGACAGAACAATGATGAAGTAAGAACATAATATGTTGGCACGGAGTCCCGCGTGTATTTCTTGGAAAACAAAAGAATAAAATCGTATGGCCACCAGTTACGAATGCTACCTGATCAGCCAGCCTCGAGAGCGTATGACACCGAGTTTCTAAGCTACAAAGAAAGAGGTAAACCACGCAAAAGATGGATTGAGGGAGTCAAGAAAGCCACGTTTCTGAGCTGCAGAGTTGGCCTTCCATAGAAAACTGCATCTCTTCTGGACGCTAAATGGCAACAGAGGATGAAAATGGTCTCTTTTAAGGACAAGTGGGCTAACCCAGATTTCAGGATATCCAGAAATCTAGACCTACACCAAAAGTGGGCATTGCCATACCTATAGGAGAAGTTTGTTTCATTGGTGTGTGTATTTGTTTGGTTATAGTGAAAACTCTCCTTGTCTTTTAAAGAAATTGAACAAGGGGCAAAAACTTTACCTTCGATTTTCTCAAAACAGCACTTTTCGGGATAGCCCTATTGTGCTTAAAAGCGACCAAATATAAAACGTAAAAGTGAATTACATAATGCTGCATGGCATTTATATAAAGAGTTTCTATGATGTATAAACTTTGATGCGCTTTACCACACATATCAGTAGCCAATAATGGTAATAAATATATTCAGCATTTATGCACAGGGGGCCTTGGTCTACAATATGCAGACATAAAATGATAAAAACGTGGGGTCATTTAAAAGGCATGTTGCAAATTGACATGGTCTTGGACAAGCATGAGTTCTGTGTAATCCATGTAAACAGCTTTTCTTCGGAACACACCCGTTGACTCGCTTGTCAGGTCAATGTTCTCACACACAGACACACACACACACACACACACACACACACACACACACACACACACAACGATTCTCGCTTTTCACGTTTTGCAAAATAGTATTAATCCGAACTCGATAAAAGTACAAGTAATTTGTACAAGATCTGGATTCTTTCTGTCGTCGTCTGTTGGCGCTGAATGGAACATGTCTCAACTAGCAGTGTTTGCGTGTGTTTTTCTTATGTTCGGAGCCTCCTCCACAGCTTCTCCGAATTTTATGGACTGCCCTAGGTCAGGCCGTAAGTACTAAATCTAATGTCGTAGAGAACAAGTTCCTAAAAAGACCACTACTGGAAGAACTTCCAAGAAGGACTTCCGTAACGAGGGACCTTTGTCTAAAAGACCAATAGGGGGGTGGGGGT